GTGTTTTCCATAAACTGATACCCAGGTGATAAAGTTTATAAACAATACTCACTTACTAATAAACTGTGATCTCCTTAATAACAAAGAAACAATAAAGTTATTTGGTATTGAACAGTATGGAACAACAGCCATAATATCCCTTTCTTCCCATGCCAGGCCATGAACACTCTATTCTATTTTCCCCCTTTTAATGTTATTGTCCTACACATTTGTTAATTTATATTATAATTTTATTGTATTATCACCCAATGTTCTATCATCCAGAAAATCAATCATTTAATGTTATTCATACCTATCTGTAAGTATCATTCATATTAATGATTCATGATTCCATTTCATATTTTGTCGAAATCTGTATTTCATTTCATAGCATACAGATTTCTGTGGGGATAATTTGTAATATTACATGTCATTCATTCATCATTAACATTAATTTCTCTTTTATTTTGTATATTTTCTCTCATAATGTCTGTTAATGCCCCTGATAATGTATTATCAGTTATTTAATTTGTTCCCCTTGTTAATGTGTTATTTTATCAAATTTTGTTCAATGTTATATAATATCCCATCACCCCACAGAAACATCATCCTATTTCATGTTACAATAAAATATTTATGCAAATTCTCTCCATACCTATTAAGTACTCATCAAAAACCAACAATAATCATTTATTTAGAATAATATATAATTGTAAGAAAATTGCAATATAGTAATAACATCTTAAATATAGTATCATTTTTCAAAATTATCCAAAGAAAATCAAAATTACTGTGGCAAGTGTCATTCATGTAAATTAACCAGCTGTACATCACTTCAACAATGGACATGGACTTCCTGAGCTTCTACCATTGCCTCTGCCCAGATCCTGCCAACTCTTCACAGTGTGAACATCATTCTATTGGAAATTGTGTTTGATTTAAACTAAAATTTATAATCCCAAAGTAAAACCTATATTTTAAATTTCTCATCATCCAAAAGTATTGGACAAGTGCATTGAAGAATACCAATTTATAAGAAGACAGACACTCCAAATTTGGTAACCATCATCCATCTTATTTAACTAAGGACAAATTTAATCTTCATTGGACATTTAATCAGCATAGCCTAATAGGCCAAATTAACTTAACTCATCAAGATATATATATATTTCAAATTGAACTTTTATTCAAAATTTAATCTTCAAATTCTATTTTATTTCATTAAATTCAGTGAAACCATTTGGAATCTTTCTTTGGACATTAACATTAAGATTAAGACAAAGACTTACCTTATTAGACAGAAACAAAACACAAATTAGGAATTATCTTTATTAAGAAATAAAAATGACTTTCAGTTCAATGTGGGCTAACTTAGTAGCCAAAGGAATTTTGTAGGCCTAAGTTAATGAATAGCCTATAGAAAGCTTTATGGTGCGTAGCAACTGGCAGAATTTCCCATGATTACCCGACCCTCTGGTACACCAAGAAAAGTGCTCCATTCAACCTTGCATTTCATCAAAACGACCCCTGGCCCCCCAGTTTCATCTCGTCCACGTCGACTCGCTCCTGATCGGCTTGTTATAGCCAAAGCCGAGTTTGATGCCATGCTCACCGATGGTACTGCACGTCGATCTGATGGACCTTGGTCATCACCCCTTCACATGGTCCCTAAGAAACCTGATGGATGGCGCCCCTGTGGAGACTACCGTGCTCTCAACGCTAGGACTATTCCTGACAGATATCCTGTTAGACATATCCACGATTTCACCCATTCTCTCAGAGGTTGCAAGTATTTCTCTGTGATCGACCTAGTGAAGGCCTACACACAAATCCCTGTCAACCCTGAAGACATCCCGAAGACAGCCATTACAACCCCCTTTGGATTGTTTGAATTCCCCTTCATGTCCTTTGGCCTCCGCAACGCAGGACAAACTTTTCAGCGTTTCATCGATGAAGTAGTTTTTGGTTTAGACTTCTGCTTTCCTTATATAGATGACGTCTTAGTTTTCTCTAAGGATGAGACTGAACATGAAGCCCATCTACGAACTCTATTCAATCGGTTTTCTGATTATGGCATACTCGTTAACGTAAATAAGACTGTTTTGAAAGCTCCAAAGGTTACCTTCCTAGGATATGAGGTATCATCTGCTGGTACTCGACCACTTCCTGAACGTGTTGAGGCTCTGCAACAATTCACCCGTCCCTCTACTGCAAAAGGTTTGCGTCGTTTTCTCGGCATGTTGAATTTCTACCGCAGATTCATTCCTTCAGCAGCCAAGCAACAAGCAGCTCTCCATGATGCCCTCTCATCTCTACGTGGAAACCAACCTGTAAATTGGACTCCTGAATTGGATGCTGCATTCTTATCCTGCAAAGAACATCTCTCCAATGCTACCTTGCTTGTTCACCCTGACCACAAGGCCCCTCTCGCATTGTTCTGTGATGCCTCGAGTACCCATGTAGGAGCTGCTCTCCAGCAGATGGTTGACAATAAAACATGGGAACCTCTCTCTTTCTTTTCACAGAAACTGACACCAAAACAATCCCTTTGGCCAGCCTATTACCGTGAGCTTTTCGCTGTACATATGCCGCCATTCGTCACTTTCGTCACTACCTTGAGGCAAATCATTGCATAGTTTTCACAGACCACAAGCCAATAACATTTGCCTTCAGTCAAAAACGTGAAAAACTACCTCCTGTTCAGCAAAACCAACTAACATTCATTTCACAATTCACTACAGACATAAGACATGTTTCTGGATCGGCCAACCTAGTAGCTGACGCATTTTCTCGTGTAGATTCATTGTCAACTACGGCTCCCAGCATTGTAGATGCCAAAACTTTGGCACATCATCAAGACTCTGACCCTGAGCTACAAGAGATCCTTAAGGGAGGGACATCTCTTAATTTGAAGCTTGTCAAAATTCCTGGAACAGACCTTGATGTATACTGTGACACAACAACTTCAGTACAACGACCCTTTGTCCCTGAGCCCCTTAGACGCTCAGTTTTTAATTCTATACACAATCTAAGTCACCCTGGCATCAAAGCTTCGGCAAAACTTGTTTCTAATCGCTTTGTTTGGCCCCGAATTCAACAAGACTGTCGAAACTGGGCCCGAGCCTGTGAGAAATGTCAACGTGCTAAGATCTCCCGTCATGTATTTACACCTCATGGATCGTTTTCACTCCCATCATCAAGATTTGATCATGTTCACATTGACATCATTGGACCACTTCCACCATCCGGACCATACAAATATTGCCTAACAGCTATCGACCGCTACACCAGATGGCCAGAAGTTCATCCATTGAAAACCATCACCGCAGAAGAAGTAGCTGAGGCTCTGGTGATGTGCTGGTTTTCCCGTTACGGCTCACCCTTGCGCATCACAACTGATCAAGGACGCCAATTTGAGTCAGCATTATTTCGTGCCCTTGGAAAGACCTTCGGTGTAGAGCGAATCAGAACTTGCGGCTATCACCCTTGTGCTAATGGTTTAGTCGAGAGATTCCATCGGCAGTTTAAGGCAGCTCTCATGTGCCACAATGATTCAACATGGCTTGAAGCACTTCCCATCGTACTACTCGGCATTCGCAGCGCATATCGTGAAGACCTTCAGGCATCTACTGCTGAATTAGTTTTTGGCCACCAACTCCGTCTACCTGGAGAACTTCTAGACCTCCCTCAAGACACAACTCGTGAGGAGGACCCGGCTGACTATGTAGTTCGCTTACGTCGACACATGTCAAATTTAAGACCTGTGCCCACATCTTGGCATGATAAACCAAAGACCTTCGTTTTTCAGGAGTTAAAACGGTGTACTCACATATTTTTGCGAGATGACTCTGTTAGACGATCACTACAACCACCTTATACTGGACCGTTTCCCGTGGTATCTCGTGATGATAAAACTATGACTATAATCCATCGTGGTAAACGTGTGAAGGTGACGTTGGACAGAGTAAAGCCCGCGTATCTATTGCAAGATCTTACTCCTTCAACACATACACCCATCCATAATAAACATTCCAGAAATCCACCCTCCACAGTGTTCCCACTCAAGACCCTACTCTCAAGCCAACCCAAGCCTTACGTGACCCGATCTGGTCGTACTGTGAAATTTTAAGTGCCCGGTCTTCCAGACTCCGCAGGGGGCTAATGTGGTGCCACTAAACTGTCTAACACAATAACCATGTGTTCTGTATTTACTTTAATCATTTGTTTATTTTTTGTTATCCTAGCAACCTAGGTAACAACAGTTTTAACAACAGTTTTTCTGATTTGAATCTAGTGGATTACACTACTTAACTATTCTCTGCAAATTAAATGACCTTTTACTAGAATGATTTGTTTTAGTGCGTCTATCCGCTAGAAAAATATATAGAAAACAAAAAGTTACGCACAAGGAATGTAGCGAGGGGTGACACACAGAAGCGTTCCAACTATGTCTTACAAAAATTTTAAAATACTAACTCTTGTGTGTATAATGGAGTATGCGAATCTTCAAAATGAAACAGAAGTAGCAATTTATTAATCAATAGAACGTAGTTTAATGAGCCACTCATTGTGCATACACTAATACATTCATAATTATTATTTCAAGTTACATGTAACACATTGTGAAAAAGGTTATTTCCAGTACCTATGTTACTAGTTTTCCTTTGAGCAACTTACCCCCTGCCTTTTCCTTACATACCTGATTAGAAGTATACGGATGAATTAGACTTTGGTACATTTTGAGACCCCGGTGAGACGGATACAGATTCCAGGTCCATCTGCTATTTGTCATTGGGCTATTAATGAAAGATGATTTCTTGCTAATGATATTTTCCTAACTACTCAAAAGATAGTATCAAGACCAAGAGTTTAACTATTACAACACTGCAACAAAATTCCCAATGGCACCAAACTTCACAAAACCAATAAAATAGACAAATATTAGCCTACATTCATATTTTTAAACTGTATACATTTTATAATATTTGTTATCTTAAAGCAATATTTTGTTAATATCCTACCTTAACAATAATCCAACCAGTAAAGTTGTCAAGAGTCAAATCACCTTGGTGCAAACTTCATCTTGTGGGTTTGTTATCAGATGAAATCTAATCTAGATGGCAAACATATTTAAAACTATTTGACTTTCATTGACATAAACGCTAAAACATTGAATTGTTATAAATAGAGTGAAAAATGTTAAACACACACATATGTCTGAGTAATAACAGTGTTACATATAATCTTATCTTACTAATATTATAAATCTGAAAGTTTGTGAGTTTGTGTGTATGTTTGTGTGTGTGTTTGTGTGTGTGTTTGTGTGTTTGTTGCTCAATCACGCGTAAACTACTGGACGGATTGGGCTGAAATTTGGCATGATGATAGCTCACATTCCCGATTAACATTAAAGCATATTCTTATCTCAAAAACCCTTTCGGGCTCCGCCCCAGTGGCTCTGTAGTTCCCCATGTTAATCTTATGATTTTTCAAGGAATTAATGAATCTTAACAGCTGTTTCAATTAAACAAGTTTTGTTCTGTTCTATGATGTTCAATAGCATAAAAGTTACAAGGATTACCAACAGGGTGCAGCACTATTATTTATTTTTTTTAATTCATGACAACAGCTAATTTCCAACCAAAAGGTGAGTGAGCGTAGCGAACGAACTTCAACCTGGAGGCGAGTTAGCGTAGCGAACGAGCTAACCTGAAGGCAAGTGAGCGCAGCGAACGAGCTCCAACCTAAAGGTGAGTGAGCGTAGCGAACGAACTTCAACCAGGACGTGAATGAGCCATGCGAATACTTATGAAGTTAAACGGGGCGAAGCCCGCGGGTACAGCTAGTATTACATAATTTTAAGAGTTGTAATTATTGATTGTGCCATTGTAAAATGACGTACAAAAATTACCCAAGTGCTTTAAAAGTTAATATTCATTCCATGCTAAGCTGTACAGGTTTGATTCGAAAATATTTTTTAGGTATTTTAAAGGGTAAATTAACATGTGGACTTGTGCGAGGTGGTCAAAAATTGAATAGTTTAATAAGCCTGTTATTTAAATGATATTAAATGTCAGATTTTTCCGTAAAAATAAAAAAAAAATTTTAATTAAAGTGATATATATTACGTGTAAATTATATAAAAAATCAACAAATAGGTAACCATTCTTTTATGAACAAATTTCTCTTGGTCAAAATATTTGTCTAAGGTAAAATTGCTTTATTTTAGAAAATAGAATGACGCCTTCAATATCTGGGGAGCCATATGTGATTCAGGTTAGCTTTGAGTTTGTATTTAAAACATGGCAGGGGTTTAAAATATAGAAGGCTACAAATGTAAAATTAAAATAAAATAAAAGTAAAATTAAACTCTTTTAACAATGTAGGCAACATTAGAAATATAAACAAATGATTTAAGATGCACTTATACAGTAGTTGTATGTTGGAAATGTCTGTCAGTATTATGACTCCAATAAGTTTAATTAATTGTTATCCAAGGCAAACACAAAAAATCCCAAGAAATCTGGCAAAGCTGGGTAATACAGTGCCTGGCAAATTGAAGTATGCCATAGGAAAAAAAACTGTCTCATCAATACAAATGATCATTTTATTAAAAAAATCAATAAACCTGAATAACAGCTACAGGTACCGATATGTTAAAATAACTTGTACCCTTTTGTGAGTACATTTATTGGTCTAATAAACTAAAGAAGCGTACCACTATTGATATAAGACAAGGCTTACCATTTAAGTTCTTGCAGTTCTTTAATTTCATCTGAATTAAACTCACCGGCAGCAACAGTGAGTGGGTGAGAATAGCTGGGTATAGCTAAAGGATAGAGGGCTCCTTTAATAATTATAATCAGAATGAGGCCTGTTCGATCCTGAGAAAAATCAGTATTTTTTTATCGTCCAAAACTGGATTCAGCAATCATTTAACAAGGCTTTTAATAGATGGTCCTGGTTCATACGTTTGTACTAAATTTCATCAGGATCATTTTTACTTGAGCTATTGTGCTAATGGACACATAGATGAATTTGAACGAATGGTGTTCTTGATCTCTGGGGACATTAAAAGGAAAATACTACAGCAAACCTGCTGTCCAAGCAAATTTCCATTTGCCTGAATTGGTTTTCAATCAAATATATTTAAATAACATTGGGTTAATGAGTACCTAGGTCTGCTGATACAGGGAAACTAATAAAGTGTGTTTTTAGTAAAATATTCATAGCTTAGTATAAAATAAATAAATTTGTCAAGTTTGATCAAAATATATACATAAACAAGCAAACTACAACATTTTACAATATCCTCCAAAAGAATAACATAGAAATTTTAAAATTATTTTTTTTATAATTTTCGTGAAAACTAATAATTGTACAAAAACACTTTGATGTACTGAATTATTTTTTTTAAGCTCTTTAAAAAGTCTAGAAAGAATTTGGGAAATTTTCTGATTTGAGGGTAAAAAAAGGGAAAAACCAATTTTTACCCCATAAAACCCCCTGTAAAACCCCGTTTCCATGATCTGGTCATGCTGGTTTGCAAACTTATCCATAAGTGTCTTATACCTTCAAACCAAATTTCATTTAAATCGGAGAAAAATTACTTAAGTTATTGTGTTTATGGACACATAACTCTCCATATAATATAATATATACATAACTCTATATATATATATATATATATATATATATATACATATATAAAAATTTGAACAAATGGTGTTTTTGGCCTCTGAGGACATCAAAATGAAAAAGTAAATCGGTCCCGGGCTCAGGTATGTACCGTAATAGCTACTTCCCTATAGGGAAATTGGGAAATTCGCTAAAAGTAAATCGGTCCCGGGTCCAGATCTTACAATGAGACCTACGGAAATAGCTCATATTCCCTATATTGAGAAATTCACTTAAACATCAGCAGTACTCACTTGATTTGCATTGTTTGCATCAGAGGTTTCCCTCCTGGATACTTCCGACGGTTCCTCCCTGAACCCAAGGTCCATGTTCTGGCAACGTCCCTCAGCCTCTACTGGAGGTTCCTCATCACCATGTCAACCACGTCACATCACTGACAACCTCTGGCACTCTGACACTATGGCACTGGTACACTGACCATGGCGGTGGCAGTTCCCTCCTGGAACATGCTGCAAGCCATGGATGAATAGTGCTATATCATTGACTTTTGGGTAATGAAATAGACATCCCATCTATGGACCAGCTGTAGCCAACCTTTTTACATAGTTGAGACACTCACAGAGATTGCTACAGTCTAATATTTTTTTGTGCTTAGTTTTTGGTAGTTGATGTGATATTAAACCAAAGGGCTTTAAGTGGTGTGGGGCGCAGTGCAAAAATTTTGGAGCAGGCCCCTTAGGCCTACTACAAAAAAAATTACTATCCCAACCACAATAACTAAAAAAATCTATTGACATTTATTCCCATCCCCTTTTTTTCTTTCATAATTTACAAAATGTATGTAAAATTTGCAATCTTTAACAATGTTATTGTATTTGTACCAAGCGTGCAATCCATCAAATAGCCAGGGTCTGCCATGTGGTTTTAAAGGAAAATTTCAGATTCAAGTGATCTTTTTTCCTCAAGTACTAACGTATTACTATATAGACAATTAATGTGTAGATTCTATCACTGCCCCCTTTAGGACCCCTCTTCATACTCTCTTTCTACATATTACACAAGCAACTTGGGATTCTACTAGAATTATTAAAAGAATAAAAATTATCACTGACTGACATACTTTCTCCCATTTGCTTAATGATATGGGATGGGCAAATCAGAGGGAGTAACTATTTCAATTTATGGGAAACAAAAAAAAAATATATTTTAGAACGGGCTGAGGGGTACATCATTGAGTTAAAGGGCTCTATCTAGCACATTAAATTTTAATAAAAACTAGAACACGCCCCGTGGTCGAAAACTCGACCATAAGTATTTATCACGATTACTAGAAAAATACCAGTATTTTTTTTTATGTCCTAAGGACGCTAGGCACGAGCCTGGGATTGTTTTTCACATTACTTCAGGCTAGACCTAGGGGTTGCGGCATTATCAAATCCATTAGTGACTTGGCGGGGGTCGAACCCGGGACCTCAGGGACTGAAGTCCCGCGCTCTAACCACTACGCCAGCTCGGATCATAAACATAAACAAATGACGTTTTTGGCAGGAAAATAAACATTACTAGGGGAAACCCGTCGAAATCGACGGTTACTTTCAAGGCTTACGTTAATTCATCTAACTGCGATGAATTGGGTGAAATATACATATTTTGAGCATTTAACATTGTTCAAAGAGTAAGTGTAAAAACAATAACAATATTGCGTTAGTTGCCAAATTTGGTTGTTCATTCAATGATTAAAATATTTCCTATCCTGTACGTCATCGGAGTTATTATTAGTATGTTATATGGTATCTCTTCCTTTGGTAGAACCTTTAAATAGTATTTAAATCGTATTGGTGGATCTTTTGTAGCTAAACACTTCCGTGATTTCATCAGTGTTTGAGAAAAAATATATGTTTGTTGAGAAGACACGTTCTAACTTCAAAGGGAGGTACCTATATCCGTTACAGTGTAAGTTTGATTTTCCTTCGTATCGTCGCGTCAGTTCATATCGTACTTCTGTGCCAATGAATGAACCATCTAGCATAGTTTTGAGAAATTGACTGTGGGGTTACTGATAAAGCTGGAATTCCTTGACATGGGGGATGTCAGTTAGTTGTCTCGGCCAGGGCTGCGTTAAGGGTCAGTGGAGCCCTGGGCAAACCCAAGAGTAGCGCCCCCCTTTTTTCCTAGTGCTGGCAGGTGGTGGTTTGGGGGCACCGAGTGGGCGCTCCCAAACCACCAGCGCCCCTGGGCATATGCCCAGTCTGCCCGTTTATAAAAGTGGGCCTGGTCTCGGCCTTATCAATAACATAAAGTTTTCAATATAATCTCTCTACGGAATGTTAGGTGTAGTGGAATACATGAAGTAAAGTTGGCTTTTATTCTTGAACTGTTAGGGGCCTCCTAGTTCATATGATCTTGGCGGCTTCATTGGCAATAAGTAATGCAAATGACATAGCAATTGAACATTTCCAAAAAGCAAAAA